GAGAGAGAGAGAGAGAGAGAGAGAGAGAGAGAGAGAGAGAGAGAGCGAGGCGCGCACAGCGGGGGGGGGGGGGGGGGTGATTACAAGAAAAGAAATAATCTGCTATCGTGTTTCCACTTATTTGCGAGTTTTTAACTCTTGGACTTTTGTTAGCTTGTCGCATGTAATAAACCACATGTCGAAATAGACTTAAAATATGCATCAATAACGTTTTAATGATGAAATTTCTCTTCAATTTATTTACTTGAAACGTAATACACATATATTAACAGCAATGACGCAAGACGGACAATTTCCTGCTGCCTGAAACAAAAAGTACAATCATCACCGGATAGAACCACGAGTATGTCTATTTATGTACTCATGAGAGTCTCGTATTGCAAGTTATTTTTATATCAATGCGGTATGTGTCCATGCATGTGTGGGAATGACACGCACATGGAGGTGGGTGGATGGTTACTGGTAATTTAAAACGAATCCTTTCAATGTATGTTCCCCTATTCGACTGCGCGACTGTTTTTCAGGCACAATTAATGTAGTGTCGGTTAGTAAATTTGCGAGAATTTTTTAAAACGCTGGACAACATATGATATAACTCTTATGGTGCACAGCTAAAGTACATAGCTACCTAGCTTTAATATTGCCACGCGGCCGAAAACGGTAAAAATACTATTTTTCAGCTCCTGAAATTCAATTCTTAAGTATAGGATCCTATGGAGGATTTAATAGTGGTCTGTTCTCGTATGTATGTGTGTATGTGTGCGCGTGGTAACAATCGCACATAACAACAAACACTACCGTGTGTTTTCTATCACAGTTTGCTAACATCACCTGATAGGCCAACTATCTTCGGTTTCTAGCATCGTTTAATATTAAGCTCATACTATGACAGCATAAGTAACATTCCACATTATTTCCACGCAACAATACATTGATAAAGACGAAAAAGAGTTTGAAACACGTTTTTTTTCGAAACACGGTACAATCAGAGACTAACGGATACTATCCGTTAGTCTGTGGTACAATCTAGTTATATCTGCAGCTATGACACTTCCGCATCTCGCACATTTCATCGCAGTCACGCAAATCGTGCATTACGTACTGATACTATCACACTATTAGCAAGATCGTTTTTATCGTACCACTGCCACGGCTGAGAAAAATCGCTGACGTTGATCTCACATTGGCTTTTCAATCGCGGGCCGCAAAACAATTCGACCTTTGACCGCCCATCGCTATTATTTGAACAGACGTGTTTCAGGTTTATACTGAGAAGTGTCTGTAAAATCGAAGTGAAACCGGGGTTATGTTTCCTATGTCGTCATCGCATATATGTATATATGTATTATATATGTATATATATATATCGTACCCCCTAAATTCCGTCGCAGACGAACTCTACAAAGTCCGTCAAGCGTCGGTTTCATCCAGTTTCTTGGCGAGATCGGCCATATCAAGGTCGTTTCCGGGGGATGCGTCGGCGTCGCTGATCGTCTGCGACAGCGTCTGCAGACTTCCGCTCGCATCGTCGCCGTCTTTCCGGTTTTGTCGCTTCCTGGCCTTCCCCTTGAGTCGTCGCCTCTCAGCCTCCTTCTGCTGCCGCAACTCCCGCGCGGACTCCTGAGAACATAAGCGAGTGCACGCGTGAGTGCGCGTGTGTATGTGTGTGTGTGTGTGTGTGTGTGTGTGTGTGTGTGTGTGTGTGTG